CTGAGGGAGAGAATGCTTCAGGGAGTTCAAGTCAGAAGGAAAAAAACAGTTTGCCAGTATCTAGGCAAGGTCAGAGTATTTCCTATGTGCTGGAAATCAATTATCACATTTTGGGCAATATTGCAAAATAAAACAACATACTACAGCTCATCCACTTGCAGCTGTTTGACCCCAGCATTCTTTCCTGCCCATGGCAGGGGGTCGGACTTGATGATCTGCTCAGGTCCCTTCCAACCCTACCAACTATGAAACAGTAACCTGGTAATATTATCTGTAACAGACAGCATCTAACATTTTACAGTTCCTGAAGGACAGAAGGAGAGGCCAGAGTGGTAGCAGTATATTAACTTTCTTTCAGCTTTCCCAAAGAAGAGTTCCTTCAAGTTAAAAATCTCCTACTAGAAATTGTCTGTAGGAGACATAAAAGAAGAGACAACAGGTGACCTGAACACAATGTTAAATTGCTTATTATTTTCTCACAGAATAACATTAGAGAGCTTTTCAATGATAAGTATTAGAGAGAGTCCCGAGTGCTGAGAGGTGCTGGCACCACCACAGCAACCATGTGGAACTGCTCCACAAACCTCATGTAGAGCCAGATAAGCCTAAAGCAGTCAGGAGCACCCACTCTTGCTGCAGCCCATCCTTATCTGCTCCCCCTCCACCTCCTCATATGCACACACACTCCCTCCCCCAAAAAACAGAGGCACTTGTGGCAGTTCCACCTGCCCCACGTCTGTTTCTGAAAGGAGAATGGGGACAGGCAGACATGCAGGGCAGTTCCACCTGGCCATGACAGCAGCAGCACCTGGGCCACAGCACCTCTGAAAGGGTCTGTTAAGAAGCACTGTGAAAGAGCCAGGAGAGCTCTTGCATCCTGTGATGTCCCCAGGTATGATTCATGTACCAGAGCCAGATACAAGGAGACGAGTCCAGCCTGCAGTCTTTTCCCCCTCACCTGGCCCCACCACTTCCTAGACACATTCTCCAAACAATGTGTGCCACAGCCACTGGTTTAGCATTTCCTGAGAAATGCAAGTTGAGATTTTTTTAAAGTTTCTCTCTTCAAAGCCAAACAGAATTTCATAGAGCAGAACAGAAATATGCAAGTCTCCAAGCCTTGTCCCACTTCACCTAGAAGTCTGCTGCAGGCTCTCAAGACAGCCTCCTCTAAATGTAAAGATCGTAATACTTTGTTATAATTGAAAATGGCAGGTAACCTAGATAAAAAAAAAAGTCACTACCAGCTCCTCTCTAATCAATCTAATTATTACAGCCAGGAAGAAGAATACAGAAACTTGGATTCTGTAGAAAATGTTACAACCTATAGCCCCAGAAAACAGTTTCAGACCTTCTTTGGGTCACAACACAAAAAACTGAGAACACTGTTCAGCAAACAGCAGATGAGACACCTGTGAAATTGTCCTATAGGATAATTAAGAAAACACAACAAAACACACAACAAAACCTGAGGGAACAGCATGTCAGGGTTGGTCAAGAAAAGGCATGTTTCCCCAGAATTTGCATGTCATTTTAATCCTTTGAGTCAGTGACCAAAGTCACTGCCACGTAACCATTTGTGGCCCTATACATAAAAGAAGTTAGCAATCTCAATCCACTATCTTAAATCACTATCACAATTCATGCCAATCGACAACTTCTTAGAGAAGCAGCAAGAGAGCAGATAGCCACATGGACACTATCCCCACCCCGCAAGTAGTCCAAGTCAAATATTAAGCATGCTGAGGGAAACTCAAGCAAAATTTTACATTGCTGCTGTCCATGCAAGAGCAGCCACACTCCCATGTTCCAATTTAAACATAAATAGATGTATTTCTCTTAATCAAAGTTGCACTTAATTATTCAAATGCATTTAATGCAGGTAGGTTACGCTTTCCCTTTAGAACCAACACATAACAGGGCTGTCCAACTTCAGAGCCACTAGGGGCTGTATGCTGCACAGGTCACAGGCCCAGGGCCACACACTGTGGGCTGCATCCTGGGACCCCTGGCATATGCAACCCCTGTGCCGCACAGGCAGTCCCCCTCACCACTGCCACCTGAGCAGCACGAGCCCCCTCCCTCCTCCACACCACTGGGCAAGCCCCACTGCTGCCCCCACCAAGCAAGTAATCCTTCACTACTGCTGCCACTTGAGCAATGCAAACCCCATCCCTCCTCTACCATTACTGCCACCACCACCGCCACATGGGCAATTCCACTCCGCCACCTCCACTGCTGTGTGGGCAGGGAGCAAACTGGGCCCCCACCAAGCTGACCTGCCCCAGAGACTCTAGCCACTGCCACCATCACAGCAACTGGAGCAAGGTGGGCAGTGCTGGGTTGGTGAGAGCCCAGAGCCACACATTTACCCCTCGCAAGCCCATCACCTGTAGGAAGCTCTAAGGTATATCACTGGAGCTTACTCTGACTACTGGCGATTGTCCAATATGGGATACCGAGCTGAAAGCTGTTGCTCATACAGAGATTGCTATGGAACTGTTCACACTCAACCAGTCTGCTTTGCTCTTGGGTACAGGAGAGGAAAGGAAGCCTGAAATAACTTGCAACAGTACCCTAGACAGTCTTCGCCGGCAGGAACAACCAGCTGGCACAAGGAGGAACCTGGGGTTGTTAGCTTCAGAAGACATCCCCATCTGCAAGAAAAGCTAATACTTGATAAATTCATCCCTTCAAACTGAAATCCTGACCAGGAAATACACCTTGCACACAAATGCAAGTCCCCACAATTAACGGTCAAGTTGTTGGTGCGTTTATACACCAACCTGCTGCACCCAGCCCACATGCAGGCCCTGGCCCCTGGCTTGCCTAGGAGCTGGCACAGAGGGGCTGTCCGCAGGACACCTCTGTGCCAAGGCGGCCCCCATGCCGAGCCCAACCGCGGGGTCTTGGAGCAGACTTCCCGTGGGTGAGGGGGCAGACACCAGGGAGGGGGCGGCCTCCACCAGCGGCTCCAACCTTTGCAGACCGCGGGAGCCTTGCCTGGGCTTTTTTGCCCGCACGAAGACCCCAGCAGCTCGCCCGTGCTTGGGGCCCAAGGAGACCCGGCAGCGGGTCGGGGGTGCCTCCAGGAAGCGCCTAGGCTTAGCTCGGGCCTCCCCCTGGCAGCGCCGCCCCCGCCCGAGGCGGCCGGGCCCAGCCAGGACGGCCCCCAGCCCCCCCAAGCCG